AGGGCTTGCTCAGGGATTTACTTGGGCCCGATCTGGAACCGCTTCGGCAGTGTGATAATGCGGTGAAGGAACCATGGTTCATGGTTGCCCAGGTGGATGTCGACGTACGTCAGGTGTCAGCCGCTCGAAAGGGTGGAGACTCCCGTCATTGCCGGACGCAACACTACTCGGAACGACTGCTTCGCACATGATTCAAGCTTCGAGCGGTCTAGAAGTCCAGAATCTTGGATTACGAAGAACACGAGGGTGGAGATTACGAACTACCTCAACGTTTGAAAGCGGGAGGTGTTCCATCTGGTGCAAAACGGTACATGTCTATTTTGGCCATCGTCGCTGCAGGGACAAGAGCGATGTGGATAACTTGGTGTGAATGAAAGCGTCGGCCTCGGGAAGCAACGGACGTGGCGCCGTCGTTGCGATGCAAAGGGGTGCCGCGGAGCGGAACAATGGCCGACTTGTAAAGACGGCCGGGAATGTTTTGTTCTGTATTCCTGCGCTGAGCGCCTTCGATGTACCCCATCATCGATTCTCTCGTTAGATCCGATGTGCGGCGATCCAAAGGGTTGGTGCAAGGAGAGCAGAAGGTTGGCCGGGTGCTGGACTCGTGACGCTCTTTTGGGAGATTGAGTGTGCAGTCATGCGGACAACTGCCTCGACAATGTTTCCTGCTGTCAACTCAACGCCTTTACTGCCAACATGCTCCAATCACAGCAACCCCAAAGCTTAAAGCCGGCAAAGCACATATGGCGGTGTAGTGCGTCTTCGCCAGCGGAAAAAAGGCCAAGCCCTTCTCCTTTTACCCCGCTGTGCAGCCAATCGCTTTAGTTGACCGCAACGACACAGCGTATCCTGCGACAGTGAGTCTAAAACGCCAACTGCTTCCGGCGACGCATCGGCGCTGGGCATATACCTAGGTAACGCGTGCGATCAGCGTTGAACGGCAAAAGCTTGGTCTCAACAATCAAGGAAATTATGGAGGAAAAGTAGTCCATGCCTCTTTGCCATGATCGCGCAGAACAAATGCGATCGCCCTGCGCCTCGGGTATGACCTTGCAGCCATGTGATCTCCTTGCAAGCTCAGGAACGAGGTTAATGTGGGATCGGCGATGGCTAGCGCAGGGTCTGGCCTTGCATCGTCAACCGGAGTACCCACATTAATCGACAAAGTCCATAGCATGCCGGTCTAGACGCACACTCGTTTTGTGGTTTGCATGGAACCCGCGGTTTGAAACTACTGCGCCTGTTTATTGACAGTTGGGTTGCTGCGGCTGTGGGAGCGGCGCGGATTGGGTATAGCCCTGCGTGGCGCCCGGCCCCTGACGTGGTATGCTGGGGTGCTGTAGGCTGCTTTGGGATGACTGTTATGCGTCGGGTAGAGGTGTGAGTGTGGTGGGGGAAAGGGTATTTAGTGGTCGCGTGCCTCGCGTTGTTGGTGCTCCTCTCGTTGGGATATTACCGTTTGTCGATACATACCTTTTACTTCCTTTTTGCCTATCGCATTGCAAATAACACGAGTTACTTGTTCAATTCGATACATGCAAATACTCGGGTCCGCATATTACTACTACCACCTACCGACAACTTGACACCAAGAAACCACGATCAACGACAATCGCAACCGAAACACTACAACAACCCTTACAACAACCGCCCAACATGCCCATCTTCCGTACATTGACCACCAAAATCAAAACCTCGCTCTCTCCATCTTCCTCCCCGGAAACATCACCAGATGGATCGCCCACCTCACCGCAAGTGTCTTCCTTCGAGAGGATCAGCGGGCGCAAAGAAGGCGGTGTGAGTGGAGCGGTCAAGCGACCCGAAGTGCAGACCAGAGTCGACTCCTACATGACTCAAGGAAGCAATGCCAGCAACGAGAGTGTAGAGGAGAAGAAGCAGCGCAGGCTGAGTCGGTTCAGGGAAGAACTAGACTTCGAGGCTGAGGATTGAGTAAAGAGACGTGTATTCTCAAAGGTGTGTTGTCATTTTTCGTTTCTAAGATGGCATTTGCTAACTCCGAGCCAAGTTTACGCTGCTTCTGAATCTGCTGCACCATCCGCATTACCATCACCTTGTACTGGAGTGCCTGTCCTGCTCGCACCTCCACTCTTTGGCGGGCCTCTAGGCGGACCCCCAGCCTTGGGAGGTGGTGGTACCCCAGAGCCTTTCTTCGGCGCATAGTCTTGCTCCAGACTCTTCTGCTCCCCCTCCTTGAAGTAGTCGTCCAAGCCACCGCCCCCACCACTCGCAGGGCTAGCGACATGATGCGCTCTGCCCTTCCTCTTGGGCGGCGGCGCCGTGCCCTGAGGAGGTGGTGACTTTGCTGGTAGCGCCATGTTTGCTGGCACGAACAACTCTGTCGGTGCACCCTGCGTTGGCGCAGCGGGGAAATCAACAGAGCCAGTCAAAGGACGTTTCTCATCAAACGACGTGGCCCCGCTAGCATCACCTGCTGAGAAGAAGGTCTCGCCAGGCGCTGGCGGTGGCTCGTCCAACCCCGCTGGAATTCGATGCAAAGCCCCGAAACCCAGCACACACCCTAACGCTCCCTCACCACCCCAATTGCGCGTCGGGGTAATGGTAACGGGACGGGTCACGTTGTATTCGTGGTTATACACATACAGCCTCAATGGCCTGTTCAGAAAGTCTTCCACGAGTTCACCCAAGCCAGACTCGCCGCGCACAAGCCCTTCGGGGCTGCCGATGACGTAGTCACCATAGGGTAGCAACCCTGCGGCATCAGCGGGGGAATTGGGAGCCACGTCTAGGATATGCCATACATCCTCCGCGATGGCCAGTGGAGACCACTGCAAGGAGATCCCTAGAGTCGGCTGATCGGCGGGGATTTGCAAATAGACTTCTCGGATCTTTTGGCCCTGAAGGGTGTCAGACCTGTATAGATAGTTCAATTGAGTGAAGTTAATTGTGACGTTTGTTCTCCCGGCCTTCTGTGGTTGTACTTCCTTGCAAACGTATCATGTGCAATTGGACGATGACTCATGATATCTCGAATGTATCGTGGTATGAGAAGGAGTAGTTAAAACCTACCTTTGCGCTGAATACACCTAGGCTGATGGTTGCGCCAGCACTGTTCCGTACCTCTGTCGCAAAGAGACTTGGATCTGGATTATCCTGTTCTCAGAGTTAGTACAGAGTCAATATGATGTTCTTGTTTCCAGTCCAGTCCATCTTGTCTGGGAGCTGGGCCCCACTTCGCCATCGTCTACCTTCTCCCGCTCTTGCATTCCTTTGCTGATGTCCTTCAACCGGAAGAGAAGATACGTACGATAGTCCGCCCATTAATTCCAATGATAAAATCGAACCACGGCTCCAGAGGAACTTCTAGGTTAGCGTTCCTCAGCACCTGGAAGCCGTACGCGCCATTCGTAGCGGACTGCTGCTCTTCGTTGAGGGGCGCGGCGTCTAGTCGCGATATGAAGCGGTTCAACGCTCCGAACATGGACATGATGAGAGGCGGTGATTCTGATGGTTCCTTCAAAAAGTTGTCGTATGGTGATGACGACAGAGAAGTTGTGTTGGTCGAGGTGTCGTTGTTGGTGACTTGGAGGTTTTGGAAGGTGGCCATAGCTCGGATCTGCGGCGCGCTAGCTGGGGCAGGTGCACCTGGGCAGTGAGGATGGCAATGTGTGGTCAAAGTTGAATCGGAGGTAGTCGTAGTTCAGGATGCAAAAATCGGAACATTATCATCTGTAGTGATCAAATTACATATACCGCCACGTATCGCACTTCACTGTCTGCGTAGGCAGTCGCGTCGGTCAGGACTATTCCTAATCAGGTAAGGCTTATCAGGATTGCTCTCACTCTTCCACAGTATCTGCTCGGTTTCCTCATCATCCACACATCTTTCAAAGTCAAGTCCCATGACCTGTGGCTTCTCAAATCAGGCTACTCTCACAGCTTAGTGTATCGCGCTTGCTGGGGATATGAGTGAAACGGCGGGTGAGAAAGGCGTAGACCAATGGTCGCGTGTCGAGCAGTTTCCCGATCATTTGAAGAAGTACAGCCCATTTCTACCACTCCCAGACATCCTCGAATTCTGACGATATCAGATATTGGCACCAGCGGTTCAAGATATGGGAAAAGTTTGACCAAGGGATATGGATGACAGAAGACGCCTGGTTCGGCGTGACACCAGAACCCATCGCAAATAAGATCGCAGCCCATATATCTGAGTCAGCGCCCAAAGACAAAACCGTCATCGTCGACGCATTTGCTGGTGTTGGTGGTAATGCCATAGCACTAGCGCGCTCGGGACGCTGGGAACGCGTGTTTGCTATTGAGAAAGATGCCAAAACGATGAAGTGCGCAAAGCACAATGCCGAAATATATGGTGTGAGCAACAAGATCTTTTGGCTCAACGCAGATTGCTTTGATGCAATGAGTAGGTTCTCGGGTCAAAGCAATGTCGTTGTGTTCGCTAGTCCGCCATGGGGAGGTTTGTCTCTTTTCCACACCATCATTCGAAATAAGCTGACGTGTATAGGAACCGAGTATGGTGCGGAAGACGTCTTCGACCTCAGTAAGATGGAGCCGTACAACCTCGAAAAGCTTTACAAGAGCTTTACGAGTATCAGCAAAGAGGTTGTTCTGTATCTGCCGAGAACGTCGGATCTTAATCAGATTGCGAGGTACGGACAAGATGGGAAAAAGCTGGAGGTCGCGCACTATACTATGATGGGTGCTAGCAAGGTAAGACACAGAAAATCTTGATGCTAACCTCTAAACTGACTTTGCGCAGGCACTCTGCGTGTATTTTGGTAACTTCAATTTCGATATGGAGCAGGACTCATGATAAAGTAGCGGATAACGGAACGCGGTCACCAAAATCGACGGATGTTCAATCTTACTCTATCTCCGGTACTACATTCTCCAGGAAGGTACACAAATCCCGAAGCTCAGCTCCGGCCATAACATGCCCCATGCCCTCATATTCTTTAATCGTCACCCTATCCTTTTCGACCCCTAATTCATATAATGCCTCATAACATATACGATGCGACCGCTTCGGCACCAATCTATCCCCTGTTCCCCTTGCCAGAAATATCTCTCCGGTGCTGCTTACCTCCTTTGGTAACCCAGCTTGTTCCCTCAGCCTGGGAATTTGATCCGCCAGAGGAAGGTATCCAGATAGTCCGACAAGTCCTCCCAGCTTCCCGGCATACTTTGATACCAACCCAGTCAAAAGTGCCATAGCATGGCCCTGCGAGAATCCTCCCAAGACGATCCTTTCCGTTGGAACGCCCTGACCGACCAGATCATCGATCAGTGTTGTGACGTAGGACACGGTAGCCATCATACCCTCTTCGTCTTCGTCGTCTTCGAGCTCAGGTCGCGATGGTGGATAAGGAGAGAGGCGTGTGGGTAGATACCAGGCTGTAGTAGCTAGGTCATGGTTCTCTAAAGCGTTGGGCATAGTCCAAGACATGTGTGGCAATTTGTTCGCGGATTGGAATTGGCGAGCAACGCTTTCCAGTCCTTCTGCTTCGTCACCCAGACCGTGGATGAAGATGAAGGCCGCGGACTTAGAAACATCGCTTGGTGGGGTTGTGGGTGGAAGCACAATTGGCGGTTTTCTTTCGGGCGCCATGCTTGGTTGTATGGGCGATGTGCAGTCACCTAGGTAGCTGGGGTTGTTCGGGCAAGTGGTCACAAGTTCGATCTACGGCTTTCCAGGACTATACATATTAAAGATCTGCCGAGGATGCAATAGCCTTTTGATGATCACGGCTAGCATCCGACATGATGATGGCAAGATCGGAAGTAATCTGGATAGTGTACGTACCCCGCATCGATCATGCAGGTACGCGGCATCTGGACTTTGACGCGTCGGCATGTGATCCATGATTTCTACACCTCCGGACTCTCCGCAACATCACCTGCTACACTCCAAACTCAACCATGCCACACGTCGAAGTACTTCCGAACTCCACGGCGACCGTCGCGCCTGGATGGACATATGTCGTCGACACAGGCTACGACCCCTCAAAAGTCGCCATCAACCCCAAGAACAAGAAGCGCGCCGCCGCAGCAACACCCGGCGGTCAACGGGCGGAAAACGAGCTCTCTGCACGACAACAGACAGCCATAGCTCGACGAATAGCCGAACTAGAGCGCGACAACGACCCCAAGCAGCTTATCACGATACCCGGGAAGCCGGGCGTGCCCAAGACACAAAATGCAAGGAGGATCATACAGTATCAGCGGCAGATCAAGCATTGGCTCGACGATGAAGAGGCGCAATTAGGACAAACGACAACTACGTCCAGGGGAAGCGTTTCTCAGCCCACAGGGGGAAGGGGAGTAGCGCAAGCCCTGCGACGGCAAAGCACGTTTGCTTCTGTGCCTGCGACGCCAGTAGAAGCAACGCCAGGGCCTCCAACCGTTGCGCAAACCCCATCGCGTCTCGAGGACGCAAATGCAGACGACGCGCTGCTCTCGATCGACGATTCCATACCCGCGCCGTTGAACCCTACCGAGCTCGAGGCTCTACTTGCCGCTCCACCGCTCTCCTACGCTGCAAGCCACGCCGCGCCTCCTCCCGCTGGCGGTCCACCACAGAGACAGTTTTGCGACAATTGCGGATACTGGGGACAAATCAAGTGTCGCAAGTGTGGAGCGCGGGTGTGTGGGTTGGAGTGCAAAGACGCGCACGAAGCAACGAGGTGCTTGAAGTGGGCATGAGCACAGATAACGACTGAACATAGCATTGCAATGGCGTTGGTATGCTTTACGATACCCAGATAGTGTGATCTATCTATAGAGCAACTTGCTCAATACACGAATTCCTCTCCTACAAGCTTCTCGCTCAGTTTCCACAGCCTCTCTGGGTCTTCCGGGTTCGTCGCAGTTGGCTGCACCTCTTGCGGCGCCACGTTGGCGTTGTCGAGATACGCGCCGTTGTCGTTGTCCAATCTTGTATCGAAGGCGGCAACAACATGGGTAGCCGCACACTCATCGAGCGACTTCAGGTCAAACTCACGAGCCCAGCAGATCTCTTTGTCCTTGGCCACTGTATGCTTGTCAGAACGGCTATCGTGTCAACTCTCAACAACGACAACTTGCCGACACTCTTCATGTCTTCATCGTCGAACTTTTCAGCAAGAGACGTTCCCAACGTCACTCCCGGATGCAGACTATACGCTTTCAGACCCTTCGAATCCAGCTTCTTTGCCAGCGCATAGGAGAACAAGATGTTTGCCGTCTTGCTCTGGCCATATGCCTCCCACTGATCATACACTTTGCCATCTTGGAAATTCGGATCGTCGAATCGCACACCACTGAAGCGATGACCATCACTGGATATGTTAACGATCCGGGGTGCCTTGGCAGCAAGGAGCTTAGGCATGATGAGATTGGTGAAGAGGAAATGACCGATGTGGTTGCATCCGAATTGGTTCTCGATACCGTCGACTGTTGTACGGTAGGGGCCCTTCATTATGCCTGCTGAGTTGACGAGGACATCGATGTGGGATTCTGGATATGCGAGAACTTCATTCGCGGCTTCGCGGACTTGCTCTTGCGATGCCAGATCGAGGGTTAAGATACGCACTTCGACGTTTGCGCTCGCTGGGTTGGATTTGATCTTGTCGACTGTGGCTTGGACCTTGGATGGCGAGCGACCAGCGAGGATCAGAAGAGCGGGTTTGTGCTTTGCGATCTCTTCGACAAACGTTGCTCCTAGGCCGCCTTGCGTTACGCCAGTCGTCAAGACGATCTTGCCAGCTATGTTTGATGCGTTGTCTGCTGCGATGGTTGAGGCAAGCGCGTTCTGGCGATTGTAGGGTAGTGGTGAAGACATGACAGTGCGCAGTCTGGACGAAAGTTAGAGAGGCTTCCTGTAATTTTAGGCAAGCAGGACTTATTAGAATCAATCAGATTTTGATGAACCACGGAAACAAACCCCTCTATATACGTTGTTGATCAGGAAGCCGCCTAGATAATGTCATGCCGGTTGACTTAGGCTTAACTCCGTCCGCTGTAAGTCCGCGTCTCCATTGAGAACTGCTCACCGATGTACGCTTACATTACTTTGAGATAGTTTAGAGATGAATTATAGAAAAACTTTTTACATTTACTAGTTGCAAATCGGCACATCGATATGTAGCTTCAGCGGAATAATTGGCACATTACACTGTGACGTCACAGATTGTAGACACCGAGATTACATGCTGCATGTTCTGCTATGCGAGTTTTGACATCGAGAGCAACACGGTTGATATGATGACCTAGGGTAGTGTTGTTTGTTGTGTTGTTGAAACTGAGAAACTGACGACGTGTTGGTCGTAAAGTATGTCTACTACAACAAGAAGATTATAATCTGGGTAGCATGAAGCCACTGAGACTACACATCATGTCACTAGTCGGCGGTCTTGCATACGTTGTATACGAAGAAGATCTCATAGAAAGAAACCATGGGAATTATAGAGTACTCATCATAATCTGGTGGTGTACACGGTAATGTATATTGTAGAAGCAATCTAGGGTATAACAACCAGCGCATGCGTTCATGCTTCACTGTCCGTCTCTTTCTCTTCCCGGCATGATATAGCCGTGGCTATGCAGCGCCTGACGCTTTTGCCTTTTCCTGTGCTTCGAGCTTTCTCCGTGCTGCCAGAATCATCTCCTCTCGCCGTCTTTGTAAGTTTGCTTGCCTCTCACTCTTGTCCGCACTCCATGACTTCGCCTTCGGCTGCTCCTCCTGTGCCGGCTGCGAGACTTGACTAAGCTTCGAGGACAGATTGTATCGTGTTATCAGATCGGGATGTGCGGGTCTCGCTGGGGCTGGGGATGGTCGCGCCGGTGTAGCTGCGACTCGCGGTGCCGGTGTTGGTACTTGGAAAGACGCTGGTGCCTGTGAATGTATTAGCATATGTCGACGGCATGACAGGGTTCAGATCAAGAGACTTACCGTGTCTAACCCTCGCCCGCTCAGGGCCCGCTCCGTTGTCGCCGCAACGTTTCCGCCATTCCTCTGCAGATCCCATGCGATGTCGCGTCTGCTCAACTGCGGCAGCATCTCAGCGACTTGGTCTATTTGCGCAGGGCTCACGCGGAGTGCAGCGCGGTTCGCCGCAGCTCGCGTGCCTGGGGCCGCCGCCGTCGGCTTTCTCAAGTACCATCGTACAGCAAGGAACGTGACGACGATGAAAACGATGACTTGGGGAATGTTGATGCTCTGTTCCGCCATGACTCTATCTGCGGTATGAGTCGGAGGCTCGTGAGTCGATGCGCTGTGATTGTGTATGTACCGAGGTGCGGCGTAAAGTGCGTTGGTAGCAGCCGAGACTCGCAAACGGGTACCAAAGTTGTAGTTATCCGAGCAAACGTGATTTCAGATCACCGATTGCTTTAAGATTTCAAACGAGAGCGCGATAGCGGTATGAGCGAGTTTACGGACAGTGTTCTGAACAGTGTTCTATCAAGTTCAAGTGAGGTCGCCATGTTTCGGACGAGCCTCGGCGAATAGCGAATCACCGAAAGGCCAAGGACCCGCGCTGACCCCTTGATGCCTTTCACTCTCGCGACCCACAAGTTCGCGCCTTCTCCATACTCCACCCCAATCCTTCGTTTCCACCCACGTCGGTCCCAGCCGTCTAGGCATACACTCATTTCCGACGACAATCGCTTCAATATGTTATGACGTTTACATGCTTTGAGATACCCCCAATAGTCTATTCACGTTACATACACGCTACGCGCTTTTGATATATAGTTATGAATGCTCCAGTAATATCACGGAAGCCGCTTCCAGAAGCAGCCCAGGCGCACTTGAAGGCCTCGCCCATTAACACTACTACAATCGGGTCGAAATTGGAAGCACCTTTACCTTCAGATCAACGAACGAAAGATGCCATTAGGGTCACCGCTCCACGTGAGGTGCCCTCACCTGGCGATAAGTCAATTCACAATGGAAGGCGGTATGGCCTCACATGTGGTATCTTTACTGGTATAAGAACAAGCTCTTTTGCTTCGACACTCTCTCGTCACTACAACAACTTCCGGCCACGACACAAGAGATACTTTAACAACCACATCAACCGCCGCACACTACTCATCATGATCGGCATCACTTTTGTCTCCCTTCTGGCTCTCATCATCGGTCTCGCAGCAGGCTTGGTTATCCCCTCCAAGTGAGTCTTTGTGCTTTGCCTTCTTCCAATAGCCTCAGCTAACAACACCCATAGCAACAATGCCGTGTCTCCAGCCATCGGACCCCTAGCTCAAGGCCAAATGACGTTCTACAACCCTGGTTTGGGCGCTTGCGGTCATACTCACGGTGACAACGACGCTGTCATGGCTGTTTCTCACGGACGCTGTAAGTATTGATCTTCGTCAACTCATCTACGAGACACACACTAACATCGTGTTTTAATCAGGGGACGAGGTCAAAACTCCCAACCCCAACGACAACCCACTTTGTGGTAAACAGATTCGAGCCCACCGTGTGGACGAGCGCACTGGCAAGGAGGCCAGCGTCCTTGTCACCATTGTCGACAAGTGTAAGTATTCCGGATGGCACACTCCGTCTCACGCCACTTCATATTGCTGTTGCTAATGTTTTGCCAGGCATGGGATGTGCTTACGACGACATCGATGTCAGCCCTTCCGCGTTCGACAAGTTGGCTGATAAAGCCAAGGGCAGGGTCAACGTGGAGTGGTCCTGGGCCTGAGCATTGTCACTTGGTTCTCGTCACACAGTCATGACTCAGGGTTGAGTCGACTGTGACACATTACGGCATTTCCTATTACTCACACGCTGGTGTGGCATATATATGCTTTCCAATTTCACTGATGATATACTCTTCTTCTACCTTTTGCTTGATACGTGAACCTGTTTACATTGACAGTAACTTTCTGCCTTTCGACAATCTACATCTTCATTGACAGCGCACTGGCATATACCATACTGTGCGTAAGTATCCATGCCTCTCGCCAGAAAAAGCAGCGAGTCTTCTTCCAGAACTCCGACAAGGGAGCGGAGCCTCAAGATACACCACCCTAATTTCAACGACGGGATCTCCGAACCGACGTTCATTGCGACTTCTCATTCGCGACGTACCGAAACACCAGAAAGCGCACACCAATCAACTAGCTCTGGCAGAGATCTGAGAAGACCCATATCATCTGACTGTCACCCCTCACGGAACTCCTCGCGGATCGACGATCCATACATACGAGATACTTTTGATGGCGAAACCCTGGCGGGGGACCCTGAGAAACCACTTCCCGAAGTCCCTGTCAGTCCTCTCCAGATACCTCTACCATTCCAAGATTCGAAATTCGACCAAAGCCGGGAGACGGACGACGACCTACCACAGTACTACCACTCAATGGACCCCAGAGATACAATCTACGCAAGACGATACAGTAATAGAAGCTCATTTTACCCCGATACCGAGGACAAGGGTCATGAAGGAGGAGTAGGGCACCTTGAGGCGGGCAGAAGAATCTTCGAGGATGTTACTTCGAGACCTCGCCCCGCTTCACCACAGCTACTTGCGAGGAAAAGGAAGGATGAAACTTACGCAAGCGGCCTGGTTGATGTCTCTTTCAACTCTTCAACGCCAGAGGAATTCGAAAAATCGAGCGATATGGCCGAAAAACCTTCCAATGGAGCAATGTCAAAGCGAAAACTTCAGCTGTGCTGGGCAACATTTATCCTGGCAGCTCTCGTCGTAGTTATCGGTGTAATAACAGGATCGCTCAGTTATGTAAAGCATGGTAGCGGGGATAACCAAGACAAAGCGACGATGGAAAGCGAGACGTTCAGTGCTTCGTCAACGCCGCTTCTGACGGAGTCACCAGCCTCTGAGAGAGTCACAAATGCTGCTCTATCGACGGAACACGTTCCGACGAGTGTCGTGGTTGTTACGTCTTCCATTGAAACGAGCGAGACCCCGTCCTCAACGCCGACGCCGACGCCGACGCATACGCCTACGCCTACGTCCACCCTCGAGTCCAGCTCGGTACAATCATCAAGTTCCCTCAGCAGCCCGTCCTCCCCATCTTCTAACTTCATGCAAAGTACAGCTGTACTAGAAGATCTTGTTGGGAGGAGCGGCTATCTAGACCAACGTGCTGATGGTTCTCTCCGCTACGATTCGCTTCTGGACCTAGACCAAGGTGGATACCTTGGTCCAAGAGAGGACCCAGAGGACTGCGAAGACGTTACTATAACAATTACTACCACATTGACAACGACGATCACGAGTACTATTCGAACATCTAGGATGGTAGCTTCGAGTGCTGGCAGCGATTCAGCTTCGCCGCAGCCTCCAGAGCCCGAGCCTGCAGAGACCGGGCCGAAGTGCATTACGAATACTATTTACCATACAGATGGTCTACCCATTTCTACAGATACCTGGGATGATACCGATATCCCCAGCAAGGAAGTCTCTTCTGTTGCCGCCGACTCAACGGCTAGTCCAGATACGACACCTCTACCTACCGAAACCTCAGCTACTCTATCTGCAGGTGAAGAGACTGGAGTTGTTTCAACATCTTCCGTCGCGCAAGCGGAACGACTAGCAGTACCGAATCTAGGGAATAGTCTACTATGTCTCCGGCGCTTTTTGCCGCTGTTCCCTAGGGATAACGAGCAAAATCGGCATTTGCTTCCTTCTCTGATCATACCGACTGCGACAACGAAGAATAATGACGCGGATAACAGCTACAGTGTAAAGGTTCTGAGTACGACCAGCAGCAATGCCGCGGTGCGTCGAGAAGCCCAGCATTGGAATTTCATGGGCAAACCGAATCCCGCCGTGCCTTCGAGAATTCATGAGCGCCGTGAAGTGCCTGCTCAACCACCTTCTCTGCCAGGTACAGAGGTAATGAAGACATACTGGGAAGCATATTGGGATTTCCGACTACTAATCATACAAATGTGCTTCTCCGTTAAATCAGAAACACCCCCGACACTTGGGGATGTCAAGATGGGCGAAACGCTTAACAAGACCATATGCGATACCTTCGAGCAGGAATTTCCAGCAATAAACGAAGGAGCAAAATGCGACCACAAGGACTCTTTCGAGAGGCTAAATAATATTGTTAAGGCATTGTGTGCCTTGGCAAAGGAAGGCGAAAAGTATGTTCAAAGTCTGGCTTTGCTTTGCCACGTCCAAGACACTCTCAAGGGAAAGGTGTATGAATGTGGAGTGGAAGAAGGAGGGGTGGTGTCCGGCACAGGTACGATGATTGCCGCGTCCTTGATGGAGACCTTCGATAGCGGACCATCGATAACTAAGGAAGAGCCTGCACCAAGTGCAGACGTCGAAGTCACCCCAGATAGTGGCCAGATTGCTTCCGATGTTCCCAGCTTTTCACTACAACAGAACGCCGTGGAGAATGCAGACCCTCCTCCTGTCGGCCCCTCTGTTAGTCCCGTTGCTTTGGCTAGTGAGCCTCCACTCGTTACCTCCGCCGCCAGTCTTCTCCCATCGCCCGTCCCCCCCACTCCACCCATACCCGGGAACTCGCCAGTTTCTACTCCTCCAACTCCAGCTACTGGCCTTGGAGTTTTACCACCTCACCCATCTCTGACGCCACCAGCCGAATGGACCGTTTCCATGCTTACCTATAGCACACAAGCCGCCAACTACAGTAGCTTACGTACTATGCCCAGTAATGCTGTCGGAACGCCACCAGTCTACGAAGGTCCACATCTTGCCAGAGACTGGCCGGTCAGCTATCCCTTCGCTATTCCCACAGGCTACGTAGCTCCTAACATCGTGCCCGCCGACCCTCAGGTCGGACAGTTGACCCTCTTCGAAGAAGGTGTAGGAGCATGTGGCCTCCCGGGAATGATTGCCACTGACTTCGCCGTTGCTATAAACTGGGAAATATTTGACATTGGCCGAGAGATTGGAGGCTCTATTCTGGAAGATGGATGGAAGTCAGAGGGTGTCACCCCAGACGGGAAGCTCGTCAATTGGCCTAAGGATGATAGTTCAAGTGCACTATGCAATCAAGGTATTCGGGCATGGATGGCTGATGACGAGGGTAAGAAGTTGGTGGAGCAGGAATTTGTGGTCAGAGATCGCTGTGCGGCGTGTAATGTGTCGGACCTAGATATCCAGAAGAGTGTATTTACCAATTATTGGGGTGCGGAGGCGGAGGGAAGGATTCAAGTCACGTGGGAGTGGATGCAGGAGGCACCAACTGACGTGCCGGGATAGGGTTTCGAATTGCCCAATTTCACAGCGGGGTGTTCAGTATTGGCGTTTTCAGGACATTGTTATAGGGCCATATGTGTAGATTTAGAATCCGCTTCTGGCTGCTTGAAGGACTTCTTATCCCGCGTTACCTCCAGCGTTGGTCCAGTGCTTCGCGATGGTTTCACTAGGCAGTACGCCATGATTCGTCTTCATCGCATATACCTTCAACGACCCACCTTTCTCATCGTAGACTAGCACGGCTGCGCACTCCTTCGTACATGCAACGGCATCCCTTAGTTCTGCAAGCAAACTCACCATCTTGCGTAGTCTGTCTTGGTTCGCTTCCTCCCATCGGGGGTACTCCTTCTCAGCATCACTGATGCTCACCGAGTGCACCGTACCCTTGTCATGATTGCCGTTCATAAAGTAGGGCGTACGGCCGAACCAAAGCTGCGGTAGTGCTTCTGTAAGACGTGCGGCCTTCTTGGCTTTGATCTCAGCGAGCTTGGACGGGTCGATGAAGATTCCCTTTTCAACAACTACGGTAGGCTTATCGGCGGGAGTCTTTCGAGGTTTAGTTTGAGTTGGTGGCAGGCCTGCAATATTCAGTTGTGCCATAGCAGCGCTCACGGTTCCAACGGGCTCATCCCTAGGCTGTTTAGACTTCGAGTCAAGGACGATATCCGGGTCATCGTAATACGCATCGACTTCAAAACGGACAACGCAGTTCAAAGGGCCGATATGGTACCGAATGACTCTGTGATGACTGCTAGAGTTCCCCATTCCATGATCAGGCATCGTGAAGGTCTTCTCGAAGTTATGTCCGTAGCCCGCATTCGGTGCACCATGGATCATTTGCTGAGCGTTCCGTTCTTTACGGCTAATAACGAGCGTATTGCCGACCATGTGTAAGCTCATGCAGAAAATGTCCAGTTTCCTCCCAGCCGAAAAATCGAGTAGCTTGCGAAGACTGTTGCGGTTGGCGATGATGTCGACTTGATCTAGCACGACGTCGGGACCCATCACAGCAAGGGCAGCGAAGGCTGGCTCGAAAGGATACTTGGGCACGCGAGATGCGTTCTGATCGACGAAGTGTCTCCCTGAGTCCTGAGCCAGAGTGGTCGGCAGTGGTGGAGGGTTCCACCTCGGAGGTGCACCAGGTACATAGATGGATCCATCACACTGCCAGTTGTAGCTACACAAGGTCTCGAAGCCACGCTCAGACGACACCTTGGTGCCATCTGGCTCCAGTGTTGTTGCCTGTATTGTGCGAACGGGCAGCTCGGTGGTCTCCCGGAACATCCATGACGTTTTCCAAGAAGGCGCCTGGTGTGGAAGCTGTGCCCGGGGTTGTCCTGCTCTCGCAGATTGAGGCCTCAATCCCTTTGATGGAACTGCGTCTCCTTGAGGTATTATCGGAAGCTTCCCTTTGACCGGTACCTTCACTGTTGCAACTTCTGCTGACGCCAAAGAAGTTGTTACGGGCGGAGATGCTTTCGCTCCATTTCGCCTAGCACGCTCTCTATGTGTGGAGTCAGACTTGTGTGAAAATTGGGGCAAGACTGGCCTACTCACAGTTTTGAAAGACGCGCATTTCGTGCCTTCGGCCGTATAGCATCGTCCTCTTTGGTGTCTGCAGTCCCGGCCCTTGTAGGGGGATCGCCGTCAATAAATGCCTCATGGGCTTGTAGCGCATTCGATGCTACTGAACTCTCGAAATCCACTGTTGCGGAGTCCTGATTCTTGTGCTGGCTGCGCTTCTGTTAGTTGTCTGTACACTCGTACAGACCAGTGTCAGCGCAATACTTACCGCCTTCTACCACGTTGGCGTTTCTTGATCGGAGCGACCTTTTGACCTGACTTCTGCTCCCCAGTGGCTATTGGGATTCCACCGTCGTCAAGAGTACCTGGTCCCGTAGCGGGAGGCTGAGCCACGGATTGCGACATGTTTAGTGGAGTTGTTGGCTTGTTAAGAGTTCATATGCCAGCGTGACAGAAGTAGCACGCGTCGAGTAGCAACCGTAAGGCAGAACCCGTGTAGCGGGGTAGCTGTTGCGCGCATCAGGATATGCTTGTACAGCCTAAGTTTGAGACTGCCAAGTCTGTGCGCCGTCAGAGTCTGCTGGATTGGCTGAGTGAAGGTGAAGAGAAGTGCGCAGCCTTGGATGCCTATGCATTGGAGAAATCATCATCGATAACACGCAGGATGAAGCGCGTCCGATATGCCTATCATCCGACCAGTCGACCCTTTACATATGGCATGGATGTTACTGGAGGCGATGAAGCCGGGGTCGAACAATCTAGGGGGGTGCCCAGGTGTTTGTGGAGGTGCAGGTCTCACGTGCGCAGGCGATAATGATTGGCAGGGTCTGGATCGGTTACGCGTCATTCCTCTCGGAGTCGGCAGCATCCTTCAACTGAATTCCTACGATGCACACGACCATCTCCGGGCTTGGTGCTTCACTTCTACGCTTCTTACTTCCCCCTACTACTTTTAATGTCTAGTTAACTTCTGCACACGTCTCTTGGCCTGTCGCCTCCGCATGCTTGGCAAACCTCCTCCGCCGCAGCGTTAGGCGCACTATCTGCAATGTCGACCGTCTTCGCCTCCCTGGTACGCCCACCCAAGCTGCGACGCGCTTCCGCAGCTACGCAGCCCGCGGCCCAGCCTCCGCCCTCGATCGACAGTCATGGCCTCGACGAGCCCGACCTGCGCGACCTCAATGCCGCCCTGCAAGCGCTTACCGACATGTTCCCCGACCTGCAACCCGAGGTTTTCCGAGAGATGCTGTCTACTTTTAGCGAAGAGAGCAGGCTGCAAGTCGTCACCGAGACGCTCTTGAAGCATGGCGACAAGTACGTGCGGGGCCGGTACAGGAAGCCTGCTGAGCAGGAAGAGCAGCGGGAGACGGCGCAGAAGTACAAATACCGCAAAGAAGACGCACCGAGGGATACTCGAGGCATACCCCTTGCGCTGGAAGAGAAGTTCCGGTCACGACGGTATAAAGAGGCTGCCAAAGAAGCGCTGTATCAGGAATTCAAAGGCCTGAGCCACTCAACCATCAAGGCTGTGCTGGCTGAATACAACTACAGCTATACGCATGCACGACCGACGCTATTGGATCTGTCAACTAGAAGCTGGAGGTCCAGCATCACCAACTTCCTGATGCGCCGGAAGGCGCCGACGGCCAGTGATCACCCCCTGGTCATATGGACTCCCGCCGACGAACGCCTGAACCGTCCGTCTATGCCACTTCTCGTAAAGACTCGAAGCGACGAGCTGAACCAGGAGCTGTACAACGCACTCATTGTACCGGAACATGAGAAACACCGGAACGCGCAATTGCGACAGGACTATGACTTGGCCATGCAATGGAACGAAGAGGAGGCCGAGCGTGAAGGCGAAATGTACGACTGCGAATGCTGCTTCATACCCAACACGCTTCAGCAGATGTCGACCTGCGATATCGACGGCCACTACATCTGCTTCCGTTGCATACGGCATGCTATCAACGCTGCCCTCTACGACCAGGGCTGGGCGCGTAACATCAACACGGACCGGTGTACCCTGAAATGCATAGCGCCTATGACCGGTGGCTCCGAAGAGTGTCGTGGCTGCATACCCTTCTCGTTTGTGAAGCGCGCTCTTCTGGAAGAGCAAGATGGAAAGGACAACCTGAACAAACTCAACGAGCGCTTCGCTAGCGATGCACTGACCAGATCTCAGCTACCACTCGTACAGTGTCCCTTCTGCTCGTATGCCGAGTTGGATGACCTCGCGCTTCCAGATACCAACCTCTTCGCCAGCCTACGTTTCAAATCCCGCCCACTCATGCTGGCTTCGCTGGCCTCTGTGCCCTTGTTCGAGCTGCTGTGCTTCCAAGCCACTCGAGCCTTACTTTTCGCATTTATTCTTATCTACACCTTCGTCACCATCACATTTCGCCTGCCCGTCATCGCACCCTTTCGATCCGCGCTCAGGCGTGTCCACCTAAAGCGTCGCGGTCTTCGGTTTCAGTGTCTATCCCCAAGCTGCGGTCGCGCATCCTGCCTCTCGTGCTCCCTTCCCTGGCATGACCCCCACACATGTTTCTCTTCCCAGCTCACGTCCCTTCGTCTCACACTCGAACGTGCTACCACAGACGCAGTCAAGCGTACCTGTCCTCAATGCAACCTAGGCTTTGTAAAATCCGAGGGCTGCAATAAGCTCGTTTGCCTTTGTGGGTACAGCATGTGCTACATCTGCCGACAGGGTCTTGCGAATGAGGGCTATCAACACTTTTGTGGACACTTCCGTGAACGGCCCGGACAGCCATGCGGCGAGTGCAACAGATGTGATCTATACCGCGTAGAGGACGAAGAGAGGGTGGTCAAGAGGGCCAAAGACAGAGCCGAGGCAGAGTGGTGGGAAGCGCAGGGTGATGGCGCGAAGGAAGGGCTGCAGAAAGAGGTCGGGAAGAACGAAGGCTCCGCGGCGAAAGGGGTGGCAGGGCTGAAGAGGGGAAATTGGGAAGCCTGGATTGAAGGTGTACTGGATAGTGTGCTTGTTTAATTTCTTGCTGTTGGCGTTCGGATGAGGCCACAGATCGTCAGAAAGATTGATACCCAGAATTGATATTGTAGAGCGTCCCTCGTGGACGCCCTCTTAATTGCAACTCTTTTGATCAGTCCCCGTGATGGCTGTTCTATCGGTAGTGAGACATCCTTCAAGTGACACTACAATTTTCGATGTTTGACATCCACATTCTTTGTGCAAGACATTATACATTTATCCCCAGCTCTTCCAGCGAAACGCCTGGCATATACGCGAGAATGAAGACTGCATCAAGCTTTCTCCCGGGGTCCAGGGTTTACAGAAATGTAGAGTGTTCGTGAAAGAGGAAGTGGTAAAGATAAGTGCGTTCTTGCGTACACTTCCGTTCTGCAAGGCTTATTTCCGAGATATCGCTCTTACCTTTTGCAGTTGCTAAACATATAAAGTCCATAGGCGCTCACGACGTTGGCTACCGTTGTACCCCTCATCAGAGACCAACACACCACCTTCCTAACGTCACCTAGCGCCCCGCAAGCGACGGGGAGCGTTATCAGCCGCGATACTATCTCCACTGACATCATCACGTCTACACATTATCAATCTGCTATCACACGCAGCACTCTTGGCTCTTCCTCGGAAGAAAGATCTCGCTGTGTCGCCTACGATGCAGGCTAGAGATCTGGGACCTATCGCGCATTCATCGGCTTGTCGCTACAGGGTTCACGATAAGGGATGCTGGTCGGAAGAAACAATGTTTGGCTAGCATTGAGGATGCAGAAGCGATCTTCGATAGATGCTCCTTGATAGGTAATGCTGTATGCCGGGTATGAGGTCGGCATGCATGTGAGGGGCGACACGGCAATGCAGATGTTGGGATGGTAGGGTACTGGGTTCGTTACATATACCATGTCGCACCACATGCTACATGGAAACCAATCGAGAATAATATCTGCTTTACCTGTCCTCGTCTCTATATCGGCAAGATGAGCATCCCGGAGAAAGAGATAGCCCACGAGTCGAAATCGGGCGACACTTCTCCTTCGCGACCGCATTCGGACGTCGAGATTGGTACCGTCGAGGAGCCATCCAACAACGGCGATGAAGCACTCAAGTTTCTTAAGAATGCACACAATGTCGGTGCTCTCACGCCAGAAGATGAGCGTAGACTGGTTCGAAAGATTGACTGGATGATCATGCCACTCATGTGGTGTTGTTACTGTTTGCAGTATCTGGACAAGACACTAGGTATGTCAGCTCTTTGCATTGATGCATCACTACTCTGCAAGCAAAAATACTAACAGTTCATACTAGTGAACTACGCGGCGGTGATGGGTCTCTACGAGGACGCGAACATCAACACGTCGCAGTTTTCTAACCTCGCTCTCTTCTTCTACGTATCTTACCTCGCACTCGAGTTTCCTCATGGCTACGGTATGCAGCGTCTGCCTACTGCAAAGTACCTCGGCGCAGCCGTAATACTCTGGGGTCTCGTTACAGCACTCACATGTGTGTGCAAGAACTATGGCGCTCTAGTTGCTACACGCGTCTTGTTGGGTTGCTTCGAGTCGGCCGTCGCGCCCAGCTTGATCCTGATAACTTCGATGTGGTATAAGAAGAAAGAACAACCGCTGCGAACCGGTATCTGGTATCTAGGAGTTGGTAAGTCCTGGCTGTACGAAATGTATGTGAGACATATACTGACTTCGTACCTCTACCCCTGCAGGAACAGGAACGATTATTGGAAGTCTGATCAGTTTCGGGTTTCAGCACTACGACAGTGCCACGTTTACTAGCTGGCAGATCATGTTCTTGGTCGTGGGCCTGGTTACTGTCTCAGTCGGCATAACGGGTATGTTGATCACTATTGGCTTTCGAAACGGTACTGACTTACGCAGTGGTCTTGCTTCTTCCCGACAACCCGATGTCTTCTCGCCTAACCCCAGCAGAGAAGGTATGGGCCATCGAACGTCTACGCGAGAACCAGACTGGCATCGAGAACACGCATTTCAAGTTTCACCAAGTGCTTGACTGTTTCAAAGACCCACAGACATGGATGCTATCAATCATCACCATATCATCCAACGTACCCAACGGTGCAGTGTCTTCCTACCAGGCCACGCTCATCAAGTCATTCGGCTTCAGCTCCAAGACTACAGCTTTGCTACAACTACCTTCGGGCGCCGTCAGTGTCATTTCAATCCTCATCGCTACATACCTCGCCGGCCGTTTCAACCAACGCGCACTGAATGTAGTCTCCTTGCTTGTCCCTGGCGCGCTGGGAGGCTGCCTTATGGCTTTCCTTCCCGGCGAGTCCAGAGTAGGAAAGCTCATTGGAAACTACCTTACCAACTGCATTGGCTCCAGCTTACCACTCCTATACTCCTGGGTATCTGCGAACATTGCCGGTCACACGAAGAAAGTAACCATGAACGCTATTTTGCTCATGTCTTTCTGTCTGGGAAACATCATCGGACCGTTGACATTCCGCCAAGGCGATGGGCCTGACTTCATACCTGCCAAGGTCACCATCGTAGTGACTTGCGCATTCGCGGCCGCTATGGCGCTCGTGCTGAGAGCCTACTATATGTGGGAGAACAAGAAGAGGGATCGAGAGGATGATGGGACGCATCTTGAGAATGAGGAGTTCCTTGACTTGACAGATCGCGAGAATAGGCGGTTTAGATATAGGTTGTAGGACGGGCAAAGGATAGGTAGCCCAATGGAAGAGCACGAGACGGTTCAGCACGAGCCTCCTTCTCACACTCAAATCATCGACCATACTGGATTGAACTTCATCGGATGCAAGGAACTTATAAGTTGATCAACGCTGATTTACATACTACAGCCCATCCCACCCTACGGAGTACCGGCGCTTCCCCGTAGTTCACTAATGATGATATCCGCCGCCTTCTCACCAATGACAAGTGCCGTATTGTTCGTGTTACCACCCACATTCTCCGGAGGGATACTGAGATCCGCAATCTTCAAACCCTTGACGCCGTGCACGTTTAAGGAGGAATCAACGACACCATCCTCCTCTCTCGGCGCCATCTTGCACGTGCCAAGCGAGTGCCACGTTGTGTTGACGTTCTCTCGTAGCCACTGCTCGATGGCAGCATCATCTTCCTTGCTGTAGACCAAGTCCTTAACATCTTCCAGAGGACCTTCGACATTCTCTTGTAGGGCGACCGCAGAATCGGCAGCGAACTTTGGATGGCCCGCAGCCAGCTCGCCACGGTAGAACTTCGTACGTCGCAAGATCTCGCGTTGCTTCTTGTACGCCCAGATTTGCTTCTTGAGGTCGATGTCGTCTTTGTCATTGAAGAAGCCCACGTCAAAATCTAGTGGGTCATCGTGCTTTGGACCGGTGATGTGCATGTGTCCGCGCGAGTAGGGGTACGCGGTGTAGTTACCCGCTGTGACGTACTGGCCCGCAGGTATGCTTGCTGGGTCGCCCAGGAAGCAAGACACCAGACCGCACAGCATCAGCGGACGGTTTGGCGCATCCTTGAAGTCGCGATTCCACGCTTCTTGGAACTCTGGTCCGAGGGAAGTGACTTCTTCTTCGGTAGGACGTAGCTTGGAGGATATGTCGATGCCGTTCCAGCCTAGCATAGGGTCTTTGTTCTTCATCATCTCGGCAACGTCGGCACGTCCGCTGAGGATGCCATCGATGGTTTGGTCGGGCGCTAGGGCAGTCTTGTAGGGGTAGAGAAGGAGGTGGTGGTCTTGGTAATCCTTTCCTACACCAGGTAACTCTTCCACAAGAGGTACACCAGCACGTTCGAGGATCTCCTTGGAGCCCAAACCCGAACGTTCGAGAATGGGTGGTGTACCGCAAGCACCAGATGTGACGACGACCAACTTGCGAGCCTTCACAGCCTTCACAGGATGCATGCTCAGACCGATTTCAGCTTGGAACTCTGGGTTTGGTGTGTATTCGACACCAGTGGCACGTTTGTTCTCGTCGAACAGCACGCGCACCACCTTCGATTCGACGAGAACGTGAAGGTTGGAATACCGCTCATCTTCGAGCTTCGGGTGGAGATATGTGTGTGCGGTATCTTGGCGTTTGCCCTCTGGTGAGACGTAGCGTTGCCATCGCGCAATACCGTTGTTATCGTCCAGGTTCTGCAGATCTTCGATCTCAGGGTAGCCGACCTTCTCAGCTGCGCTTATGAAGTCGTCTTCAGCAGCCTTTGCGCGATAACCTCCGTCTGAGACATGGATTGGTCCGCTGTGGCCGTGGTGCTCTTTCGCTCCGGGCCCGTGGTAGGTCTCTAGCTTCTTTAGGTGCGGCCACATTTCCTCAGCTGACCAGCCAGGTGTGTTCCAGCTATCGAAGTCCGATCTTTGTGCTCGTGTGTACATCATGAAATTGATTGAACTGCCTCCGCCCAAGGTACCACCGCAAGGTACAATGGGTTCGCGATCGGCTAGCTGCTTCGACTTGTTTCCTTTGTAGAAGAGAGCGGTCTTGGTGGCAGGCAGTAGGTTCTGCAGGTAGAAAACGGGGTTGACAACGCTGGCGACATCTTTGTTGTTCGCGCCCCCTTCGATTACGAGAATAGAGAGGGAGGGGTCATCTTCAGCAAGTCGACCGGCTATGATACAACCCGCTGTACCGCCTACAAAAAGATGTCAGTGGGGGAATCGATGAGGGTGAATATGATAGACATACCTCCAGCGATGATGACATCTACCTCATTGATGTCGTCTGCAAGCTTGTTGTATATACCCATGATGGAATTCTGTTATGATCTGGGCACTTTGAGAAGATGTTCGGATACCAAATGACAAGACAACTATCAAGAGTCAGATTTGGGAGTCCAGCAATCCGTTTAAGTAAATGTTCAGTATTTCTTTGCCCCTCGCAGATAAAGTTCGGCCACTTACAGTCCATCGCAGACCATTTATCGGATGCCATAGGTTTTCTGTGACCTTGAGTACCGCACTACCCCATCTTCTGCTCTTTTCGGCTTGGCGCCGGTGATACTAGCGGACCCTTTCCGCGCATCTAGATGGCGACCCCAAGGCTTAGGGAACGCTACGAGCTATTAGCTCTCACAACAATTGAACGATCTCCCATGCCGTCCACTCAGGATAGCCTTATTTTTGCGCTATCAGCCATGGTGGTGGTGAATAGCACATCAGGTGTTCTTTCCCCGCATTCGTGAGCCGTAACCTAACGGCGATCATATGCGCCTGTCCGAGAACCGCGGATAACAATTGTGAAAAGAAGGATGTAGAGAGGTACAATATAGAACGTGTATTCCGCGCAATTCTTAATTTCGAGCTGGTGGTGGTTATGTTAGCAAACACTTCATTCGTAGAGCACAAAAGATAAGAGAGATTGTGAAAGAGTGTAATGAGGTATCTTGGAATTTCCGAAGGCCTACTTTCGGATACTTGAACCCTGCAGCCCACTAACACTGCGCATTCGGAACCATGGATCGATGCACGGTAACCGCAAGAGTCGATGGCATGTGCAGGCTAAGGCACTAGGACGTAAAGTCCCGGCTTGCTGGGGCGAAACTTCATGAAAAAGGAAAGCTATGCTCGATCACATCCACATATGGCTGCCTTCTTCAGAAATACGAGATTATAACCGAGTTTTCGCCGTACGACGATGCCAAGCATCGCGTCTTAGAAGAGCCGATCAAGACCCATGTCAAGTATGTTTTGGAACTCGACGCGACGCTTGCCAGCGATACTACGCTTTTTGGGCTTGGCGTCCGCCGCGATGTAGTGCTCGATGATGTTGACGGTAGCGTCCAACGTATGGAAGGGTGCAAGATTGTCGAGCATGAGGTTAGCGCTCTCATCGTCTTGAATGGAGTCGTGCCTTAGGAGCGCAACGTTAGTGATTGTTCGAAAGTAAATCGTACCTGGGGCCGACTTACCAATGAATGACGACCTCTCGCAAGTCTGGCGCCTTCAACAAGATCTCGAATACGAAATTGGAGCGCTGGCGAAGAAGGGCAGGAAAGATGGCCTCGATGGAGTCGGTAGTGTCGGCGCGGATCCAGGCCGAATCCCAAACGAAAGTGATATCAACCTTTCGGATGTTCTCCATAGGAGAAAAGGCAGCATCGGTGATCTGGCTGAAGGCCTAAAAATTGGTTCACGAAGTCAGTACATGTCACACGTTGATTCATCCAAGGAAATGACTTGCCTCCTCGAAGAAAGACGTGTGGGCGAAGCTACCAGTCGCGTCGATACGTAGGACGGCTACATCGTAGAACCAGTTCTTTGCCTCGTTGTTCAGCTGGCGGGAGGCCAACAGGAGCTGGACCGGCGGAGGACAGTGAGTGATGCGCACGAAGTTCGGTATGTGGCGCCACTTGTTGTGAGGTCGGAATACGGGTGCTGGAGGAGGAGGCTGAGCTGCAACAACTGTAGCAGCAGCGTTACCGCCGTCATCAGCCAAATCTTCGTCGCCTTCGCTATCGCCTTCGGCCTCGTCCTCATTGTGTAGGTGGGCACCCTCGGTCTCTTCGCCGTTGTTGCCCTCACCCTCGCTGTCGCCCTCGCCGGCATGTCCTTGTCCAGGTTCTTCCTCTGCCATCCCATCTCCGGAGTGGTGGTCGGGGTCAACTTGAGCCGTAGCTTGGGCTGGAACGTGGACGCTAGCAGTTGCCGACTGGGTATCGTGCGCGCCAGCGACAGCTTCCTCTACCTCATCGTCCTCGTCTTCACCGTCCAAGTCGGATTCAGACTCATCTTCAGCTTCATCATCATCATTGCCATCTTCCGGCTCTGCTCCTTCGTCCTCATTTCCATCTTCGTCTTCGTCCTCGTTTTCGCTGTCCTCCGCGGCATTTTCGTTCTCTTCTTGATCATCCTCCTCACTGTTGTAGTCGCTTACAGCACTCTCGTCATCGTGATCATCGTAGTCGTTGGCGTATACGACGCGCGGGGTGGGACCGTTGGGGTTGTCAATGGCGTCTTGGGCAACGAGTTCCTTGACCTCTTTCTTCTCGAACCAGTAGCGGAGCAGCTTCTTAGGCTTGACGTCGCGCGCGGCCACATGCTCGAAAATGGAGTGTCGCACCTCGAGCGGGAGGTCCATGAAGGCGGGTGCAGCCTTGTCGCTGGTCATGGCGGGCAGTTGGTCGCGCGTGAGTTTTGTAGAATGAGCTGCGCAGGGAGATGTAAGGTAGAGAGGGTTGCGAGCGGGATTGGCAGCAAACCAGAGAGAGAATACGGGCGAGATCAGGGTTCAAGTAAAGTTGGTGCCGCAGTTGCCTGCAGTGGGCTGCGCGGGGCTTGCAGGCGTTTGTGTAGCCAGAAACGCTTGAAGGCGGAGCAGGACCAGAAGTGAAGGAGCGGACGAGAGCCACTGAGGGGCACGCCCAAGCGTCGAGAGGTCCATCATGACCAACAGGGCGCTCAGGTCTGGATGCGTCGTTTCGCAGTCGCTGGTAGCTATGGAGTCGCATTTGACCCACCGTCGCGCCTTCCCCACGGAGCTCGACGCGCTACGTCAGCCCCTTGCCTCATTGGCTGCAGCCATTTCGCGACCCGCCACGCGACCAGCTTCCACTTCATTAGACTCAACAAACGTCATCCCTTCCATCGCGTGCCACAAGACTTCAGCGTGCCCAAAACCTTTACATGGCAGCGCAACCAGGCAGCACGACTTCTATTGCATGTGAGATCCTTCCAAACACAGGGGCAGACCTACGTATGCATGCGGAACATCATGCGCGAGATTTCTGTGCAATGCTTCCAACCATGACTCTAATACATGGACACACTCATACGCTCGTAGTGCATCAATTCATCCCTTGTATCATGCTATACACCCCGGGCTGCCCGTGCGCTCCTTCCGAGTTGCCGACACCACGCTCATCACGAAAGAGCACTTCCGCCGAGCCCTACTACCCTACATGAACAGGACATAGGCTGTAGAGGATGCAGCCACACTCGAAGGACAATACTTCTTCAGCACTTGTATATGCCGTTCCAACTATTGTTGCAGCATGCCCATCCCGCGGACGATGTTTGGGTACCTGGCCTATCGATGCATGTAGAGGAGGCTGCAAGATCAAGGTACTTGCCGCTTCTCCAACGAGGAGACTCGAGACTTCCCTGACTATCACATTTCAGAGTAAGCCTGCTCTCTTCGGAGCAGAACCGGTGTCAGCGTTCAGCATGTTCCTCCTTCTTACGCCTATGACAACAGTAAACACAACATACCACGGAGCAGCAGCAACTCACTGCTGCTGCCCGCCCACAAGCTACGTGCATGCCCATTGCAGAGTATATAATCTCGTCCTCTGCTCTCCATCCTCCACTTCTTTCACATCACAACCAGCCCAGCAACTCTACCATCAACTCTTCTACCCAGCTCATCCATCCATCATCCATACCTGAGCCCACCCCATCAACGCATCCCGCCGGTAGAGCTTGGTTCCTCCAACCACACCCCACGCCATGCGTCTCACCACCAGCGTCATCGCTGGCTTCATCGCCTTCGGTGCCGCTACGCCTGCCGGCCTGGCAGTCAAGCCAAGTTCCATTGAGGACCCTGTCGATGCTGTCCCAGCCCAACACACTCCCGTCGTGGACGGAAACTGGCACATTGGCTGCGACAAGAACAACTACTGCTCCTACTACCAGGGAGGCGACTTGTCTGTTGGCAACACCAACTCAGTGTCCCCTCGTACCATTGCTCTGTCGGAAGCCTCGTGCAAGCAGTGCTCAACTGAGGACCCTTGCGACGTAAGTCTTCCTTATGTCCTCTTCTTTCAGAATAGGATGATCTTTGCTGACGTTCTGTCTGGTAGTATTGCACGTCTTACAGTTTCTATTGTCGGGACTGCGACCATTACCAATGTTTCGACGCATTTTTGAAAAGGCATGACTGCTTCGACATCCAACCCGAGCTTGCCGACGTCATCCGTAATCACACAGTCACAGCCAACATCCTCGAGACCACCATCAGCACCTCTGTTGTAACTGTGACCGCCGTGCCTACTTCTGATGCGTCGATTTCCGACATCACCACGACCATCACGCTTGCTCGTACAGCCGTACCCCCGATGCACACTGGTCTGGCCCCTCGCGATGAGCTAGCCTCCAACGATGGCGACAACCAGTTACCTACTCGTCGCACTGCCTTCAAGCAGTCGGAATGTTTCCCTTGCAACGACCAAACTTGCCCAGTACGTTAATTCGTCCCAGGTTTCTTGCCTGTACTCAGCTTGCTAACTTATCTTTTCTCAGGAATGCCACGCGGACTGCGCAGAGTGCGACAAGTACCTTTGCAACAACTTAGCCACTCACATGACGGTGTGCATGAGCGTCCGTTCCAAATGGCAGCCCCCGGGCTTCAACGTGTCTGCCTCCGGACCCAGCGAGACCACAACTACCACCGAGACAGTGGTCATTTCGACCGTCGTTGGCCCCACGTCCTCGCCAGTCGTCACCGTCACCGTGTCCGCCCCTGTTACCAGTACCACTACTGTCGTCGTAGCTCCTCAGAGCTCCCCATGCACTACGACTACTACTTCGATACCTATAGTAACCAGCACCGTGACAGTTGTTACTCAGCGTCCACAGACCAGCACCGTGACAGTCATTTCTCAACGTCCACAGACAAGCACTGTGACTGTCGTTGCTCAGCGTCCACAGATCACCACTGTCGTCGTGACAGCTCCTCGGGTTCAGACTACCACTGTCGTCGTGGCAGCCCCTCAGATTCAGATTAATACCGTCACTGTGGAGAAGCCGGCTTCCACCGTAATCTATCAGCAACCAGGCACCACATCCATTGTCACCGTACAGAACCCAGCTTCTACTGTCGTCTACCAGCAGCCAGGCACAACTTCCACTGTCACCTATCACTACCAGGATCCAGCGTCCACCATCATGCTCCAGCCACCAACTGTTACTGCTTCGCGCTCACCACACGTGCTCGAGATTCCCGTCACTGTGATCACGACCGCGACCCACACCGTAGCCAGGTCAGTTCGTGCCAACCAAACCCCTGCGCCTATGTCTCCCCGCGATAGCATTATCGCCAAGCCAATGTGCGACTCTTGCGACGGTAACCCGGAGTGCGATGTAAGTTGAAGCACCAGTCCGTCGTGTGCTCATAGAACTTCTGATTGACTTCCGCTACAAACAGGGGTGCGATTTCGCTTGCAACGAAGACCAAGGCTGTGAGCACTTCCTGTGCAAAGACCCTCTCAGCGAAGCGGAGATCTGCATAAGCCTCCTAGAGGACGCCGAGGCGTCCAAAGCATACGACACGTCCATGGCTTCCGGCGATTTCCTTGGCTCCGCCGCGATGCTTCTGGTGCTCGCTGGCGATGACGCCCCTGCTTCCAACACAACGACCACCCATTTGCAGCCGGCGATCTCCAACGGAACCCGCCCAGACTTTTCCTTTGCCGATGAGGATTGCTATCTGTGCGAGTCCGGTGATGAGTCTTGCAACGTAAGTCACTGCCTTGCCCACCCACCCCCTGCAATGTTGCATCATCTTCATTGGTATGGTTCGTCGACTAACTCCTCCCAGATGTGCGACTGGCAGTTCACCTGCGGCATCAAGAAGAAGTGCTTCCACAACGGCGCTCGCGAGGTTGTCGAGTTGTGCTTCGAGAAAGGCGAGAAGTGCCGTCCTTGAACCGATTCCGCCGGGCATTTCTCTTCGTGCCGACTGAAGCGAGCCATCCTGCGATGCCACGAACCGATGAGGTAGCTGGATTGTCGCTTTTGGCTCTGCTGTCTTTTTGCACGCTTCGTTGGTCGCGTCGCTCCGTTTCACGCTAGTGTGAGCTTGCGCTGGCTTCTGCCATGTTCTTTCTCCTGTTGTTTCTCTTCCCCTTTGTTGCTCCGCGTTAGTAGTTTGTAGCTTCTTCTGAATACATTACATCCCCTTAATTTCTGAGATACTTGCTTCCTTGTTGATGTATGCTCACCGATCACATGTTCTCACTACTTGCTTCGCAACTTGCCGATGGAGTCCGCGATGGTCAGTCGTTCTCAAAGAGGCCGCTCGCTCGACCCATGATTGCTTCAGTGACATTGTCTTGCATTGGAAGCGTGCATGCAATTGACCGATACACTTCAATCGGCACCGGGTGACATAAGACCTGGCAGAATGCCTGTCGTGAAAGTCCCCAGGACGCATATGAATCGGACATACAATACAGGTGTACATTCTTTGTTCTCACTTTTTGTAACGCATACCCTTTTCCTAAGTCGAAACTTCATCTAGTTAAGGGGATTGCAGAGCCATCTAACTCAACCCCAGACCAAGTCAATTCTCTCGCCCTTGACTTTCGAGTTGAACCACTCGTAGATCTCGACATCATTCTGTACTACAATTGCACCATCAAGAACTCCACTTTTACCTAGTCTCTCCGTCGCGAATTGTAATTCCATGGTTGCCAAGTTTCTGGCGATGCACGCTCTGCTCCCTGCGCCGAATGCGAACCAGTATCTCGACATAGCTTCTGTTGGATTCAGCCATCTTTCAGGCCGGAAGCTTCTTGGTGAGGGAAAGATGTCCGGGTTGAAGTGCAGCTCATATGCTGAGCAACCGACAATGGCACCAGCTGGGAAGTAGGTGTTTTTGAAAGTCCAACCTCCTGCAGGGACCGTATGAGGTAAGCGCGTAGGATTTGCCATGCTAATTCGGAGGCCTTCTTTGACAATAGCGTTGAGATAGGGTAGCGCTTGAACGTCCTGCGCATCTGGACCAAGGGCAATGTTGTTGTTAACCTCATCCTTTAGTCTTTCGTACATGTCTGGGTACAAACCCAAATTGCGCATGATCGTTGCCAAGTTCATCCCCGTAGAATCTGTCCCAGCGAAGATGAGGTCTTTGCACTGTGCCTTGACTTCGGAGTCGCTGAGCCCCGCAGCGAGTAGACGCCCGGGGTATGTTGTTGACTTCTCGGAGGTATTCGCTACCAGTGTGCCGATGAACTTATCAACAAGCATCATGCTATCATCAGTCTCTGGATCGGGCAACCATTTGGTAACGGCCCATTCCAGCCACGTGAAAGCGAGATTCGGGAGGTAGAAGAAGCGACCGACAGCGACAAACGCGTCCACGAATGCGCTCACGCTGAGTACTGGACCGCG